TCAGTGGCCCCATCGTTGGTTTCTGTGGCCCCGCATTATCTGCCCTTCGTGGCCCCCGCTCGTTCGCGCTCTTCGTGGCCCCATACGCATTCCCTTCGTGTCCCCGCTGTCGCCCTTCGTGGCTTACTTCGTGTCCTTCGTGGCCCTGCTGTCGTTCTCTCTCGCTCTCGCTTTCGCTCATCGTCGTCGTCGCCGTCGTCGTCGCTGACGTCGTCGACGTCGTCGTCGTCGTCGTCGTCGTTGTGGTCGGTTCCCTGTCCGTCCCTCTTGGGGTCGGGTCGACGGTCCGCGGCCGCCCCGCCGATCAGCGCTGCCGCTGGCCAGGCCGACGATCCGCGGCCACCCCGCCGCTTGCTGGGGCCCGGCTTGCAGGGAAGAAAGGTATACCCCCCAAACGGGGCTCGATCGAAGACGAACAGGGAGGGTATCGAGGGTCTGGGAAATACTCGTTATTGGACACTCGAACAGATAAGGGATAACAAATTTAAAATGATTGTTGTTGTTGTTGTCGTCGTCGTCGTCGTTGTTGTTGTTGTTGTTGCTGTTGTTGTTGTTGTTGTTGTTGTTGTTGTTGTTATTGTTTTTGTTGTTGTTTACGGTTAATATTATCAGTATCATCGTTATTATCATTTGTCTGGGTGCCGACGCTCCAAGACGGCCCAATAGGCCCCCACGTTCGCCCCAGGAGGGTTCCCAAGAGGATGCCGAGACGGCCCAAGGTGCCCCCAAGACGGCCCAAGAGACCTCCAAGACGGCTCAGGAGGCCCCAAGAACGCCCCAAGAGGGATCCCAGAGAAGGAACACGAACCGACATGTCGAGCTCTCCGCCCCCAGGATGCCCGAAGAGGCCCCAAGAGGTGTCAACAAACTGCCCCCCAGAGGCCACTGAGATCCCTCCGGAAGGACCCCAAGAAGCATCCATGATGACTTTGACCCAGTCCAGGCACGGTGGCGGGCCACTAATTTCTCAGCCCCCTGTTGATTGATCACTGGTAAGACCATGCGTGCTCGTATGGGTCCGCTTTTCCACGCAAACGCAGGCACGGGACGCTAGAAACAGTTGACAAGCGAGACAGAAGGACAAAAGGACAAGGCATCGAACACATAAAAACATTGCTTCTGCTTTTGTCAACGCTACGCGTGCTTGTGTGTTATGCTTTTCAACACAAGCGCCTGCACGGAATTCGCAAGACGGAGAAGGGAGCAAGGACACGAGCAAAACATATTATGACATAGTTTCTTGCCGATGACAAGAGCATGCGTCCCTGGGTGGGTACGTGCCACGACACAAACGCCTGCACGGGGCGCGCAAAAAAAACTGGACAAACGCGACAGACTGAAAAGGGAACCAGACAACGATAACACAAATGACATAGCTTCCTGCTCTTGATAACACCATGCGTGCTTGTGTGGGCGCACGCCAGGACACAGACGCCAGCACATAACGCGCAAGAAGCAAGAAAGAAGGGGCAAGCGAGACACACGGACAAACAAACTAAACAACATCATACATTACACATTACATAGCTTCAGGCTAATGCCGAGACTGTGTGTGCTTGTGTGAGTACGTGGAGCGGTACTGACGCCAGGACGGGGGGGTCTGCAACAAAAGCACGCGATACATAGGGAAGCACATAACCAAAACACGAAACAGAGAGTGACATAACTTCCCGCTTTTGACAACGCCATGCGAGCTTGTGCGCATAGCCTCCTGCTTTGGAAACAGAGCAAGTGCGAATGACTTACGCAGCCTCTTGCTTATGAGAAGAACATGCTAGGTTGGTACGTGACACGACATCAACGTCGGCACGGCCCACGCAGGACAAATATGACAACGAGACAAACGGGGAAGGGAACGGGTCAACAAACAAACAGACATGCCGTAGCTTTGCGGTTAAGACAGCACCATGCCTGCTTGTGTGGGGGTCCATGCCAGGACGCAGACGCCAGCACGAGGCGGGCAAGAAAAAGGAGGCAAGCAAGACAAACAGAGAAAAAAGTAAGATAACGAATCACACCCGACATAGCTTTGTGCAGTGGACAAGACCATGCGTAGTTGTGCGGATACGCGACACTTTTGGGCCCTCTGGCACAACACTCTTACTTTTGACACGACCATTCGTGCTTGTGTGTTTCGTGGCAGGGCACAAAGGCTGGCACGGAGCGCACAAGTGAGAGAGAGGTGAAAGATGATACAACTCGCGGGAACGGACAGCTGCGTCCTCTTTGGCTGCAGCACGCGTGAAGACAAGCTGAACGGACGGCAAGTCTAGGGGTTGCGCACTCATGTCGGGCGTGGACTGAAACGGCTCAACAAAAGCCCGGCTCGACCAATTTAGAAACAACTGCGCTGTATTTTTTGTGGGGGCGCCCCAAACCTGGCTCGGCCAATCATTAAGGCCACCTCCAGGGTCACGAGCGGCTCCCAAACCCGGTTCAGCCCAAATCCGGCCATGCCGAACCTTGCAACATCGGGCGCTATGGATGAGCTCCACTTGCA